ATAGTGTAACGACTCTATGTGTTGTAAATAAACAGTATTGATCACATAAGTCATTGATTCGGATACACGTAAAACATTATATAGCACACTAACAAAAAATGTAATTAGTTTAATCGTAACGTTTTATCAACGTGTAAACTATTGTACCCTGTTAAAATTAATTTACAATTAGTCAATATAATATGATCAACGAAAAACGGTTTTCCATAACGATTAATTATTATAATAATATCGACACGATGCGTTTATATACTTTACTATTTTACTAACTGGATGTTTTATTTATTATACTGGCATTAATAAACAAATTATAACCCATTTTTAATATATTTTTTAAGTATATATCAGAATAATTAAGAAAAAAAAGATTTAAATCATTCGTATTTTCACTTTTGGCTTATGCAAAGAGTGTGTAGTATGTCGTTATATTATTACAATAATTCTTATTACCATAGAAATATTTCAATTTTTGAATTTATTTTGAACAAAACTATCCGAGTCTTATTTAGTTATACATCCAGTAGTGGCTTGAGTAGCTTGAGTAAATTATTTAAATTTTTAAATGTATGAACTTCAGATAAATGTTGATAATTAATTTACACTCACATTTATGCGGATGCAATTGATTCACTGATCAAATATATATCATTAAATATATGTGGTTGTCAATACCAATTTAGTCTAAAAAAATATAATGTGGGCTGTTAAATGATAATTTGTGTACTTTGAATATGAATTTGAATATTACAAAGGAATACAGCAATGTGGTTGAACATTTTATTTTTGATAATTATGATGAAGTGATACTCAAAAGTGTTTCCCCGGTAAAACGCTTCATTAAACGACGAAGATTTGAGTTACGGTAATAGGTAATGCAAATTTGTGACGCGCAATCGTGATCATATCCGTGGATCCATAAATAAAATAATAATTTCTTTACGATTTTTAGACAAAAAACTATAATGTGACTGTAATATACGGAAAAAAGCTATATATAGTATAAATCCACAATAGAGACCCCTTCTTGTGTGATATTAAAGAAGAAAGCAAAATATATGATGTAGCATTTTATTTTTTTGGTAATATTTTCAATAATTTTTTATAACTAAATAAACAAAAACTTATAATTGTATAAATAGAAATGTAAAAATAACTTTGTATTTATCTTATATCAAAAAAATAAAAACACTACTTCACAGGTTTAATTTTTTTCTTTTAAAAACAAAGAAGAGCTTATTATATGAATTTACAAATATATGAACAGTTTTGTATTTCATAAAACATATTTTTACTACAAATTCTCTCATACATCATATTCTCTTAAGAGTAGATGAAAATTTTTATTAATAAAAGAAAAATTAAAAAAAAAAATTTTGTAAACTCAGTTTAGAACACTTCAATACGACGGAAGATGGTAAACTGCAGCATAACTACAACTCTTCTAAAGTTGATATATAAACTGCACCAAAAAAAAATTAATATTATACAAACTGTGACAATTTATTTTATATATATATACAGATACTATATACATACCGATACCATAACACATATACGTTTATCGTTTAATTAGATATAAATTACAGCTATATATAATATACTTGTATAAGTACGCATTTGATCGGTGACTTAACTTCATGATCGATAACGTTTGTACATCGCTTGCTATCTTGTAACATGCACATTGCACATATTATTTTTAATAGATTTAAAAAAATTGAAAATTAAAATAATAAATTAATAATACATTATTTTATGTAAATTAACACATTTAATTATTTAATTAATATGTTAAATATATATAAAATATTAATGAAATATGTTAAATGCTAAAGTATCGTTTTCGTTGTTTAAGACCAATTTTGCTCTGCATGTTTACTTTGAGCAAATCTATGTTGAATAACCGCTTATTTTGGAATTATATTTAAATTTAAAACTGTTTAGCACCAATAATTGTTTGCTACAGTTTTGGCTAAACATTTTTATAAATTCCATTTTAAATATAATATTACAGGATACATGTACTAACCTAACTTGTAATCTTATACTTTTGAAGGAGCCGATATTTAGTATACTCGTATTGCATTAAAACTTAAAAATAAAATTTAATTTTTCTTACAAATTCGTCTCCAACATAACATATCAATTAAATAATATATGTACTTGAATAGTGTACTACTATATGTGCACATTGGTATATATGATGTATATAAATACCTATTTATGTTATCGTATCGGTATGTATATAGTATCTATATATATTATATATATATAAAATAAAAGATCGAAGTTTACATACAGCTTTCATTCGTATGAGTAAGTACGGTGTAAATACGACTTATTCATATAAAACTAAATCATAAAAAAAGGAAACAACTTTACAAAATGAAATTATAATTTATACTCTTATTATGAAAATCGTTAATACTTTTATATGATAATATATGGTCAAGATTTAAATGAAGAACATATAATGAACACATGTACGAGCTGACAAGTCTTGGATATATAATATGATAGCCAGTCCGTATAACTATCTGAAAACTAACTTTGTACAAAAAAGTCAAAAACACTTAATACGAAAACGTATGTTATATATGAAACCTATTATAATTATTTTGTAAATAGTTAACAATAGAAACCCAAAACTTAATTTTTATACAATTATAATAATTTAAATTTAAATTAACATTTGAGTATAGAACACAATAAACACAAGTTCTATTCAAATGTATATAGTACAGGTAGATAATAATAAAAATTACCTAGCTAGAAATTTTGATTAAATTGAATACGGTATAAATGTATTTAGAAGATTTCAAAACTATAAATACTTAACAACTTGTAAACAAGTATTAATGTAATAGAATAGAGATAAAAATAATGTTGGTATAAATATTCTAACCGTAATTGTATGTAAATAAAATTACACTACGAAGACTTTATTTAAAGTTTTAAAAGGCAAATTTAATTTTCAAAAAATCTTTCTTTGACATACGCAAACTCAATGATGTAATTCCACCATAAATGTGTAGATAGTTTAGGAGGTACCTCAGATAGTTTTCTAAAAAGAAAATCATATGATTACGAGTAGTTTATTGATTGATAAGGTTTGTAAAAATATTAAAATTTTAAATAATTAATTCAATTTTATAACTGTAAAATAATAATAGATAACATTATTACTAGAATTTAAATAAATTAATGTTGTATTATTTAATATATAAATTTTTAATAGCATTAATCATAGCTTTGTATTGAATTTGTTATAATTAACTGAATTTTCATAAAATTATAGTTAATACTAAAAAAATACTCAATATTTTATTTTATTTTTCAACATAAGATTTATTTTAAAATACTTTTTTCCAAGTTTTTACTTTCATAAAATATATTTTTGAAATTTAAACTTCTGCGAAACAAAAAATGAAACTAATTTTGTAATTTTTTAGATTAATTTATTTTTATTATCAATATAACTAATTTATTGTTTTATATTTAGAATTAATTTGGACTATATAATTTACTAAATTATAATAATAGGTAAGTTATAGTTATTTTATTATTTTTTTTCAAATATTCCTTCGGGAAGTATAAGTTCATCAAATGTTTCCTGATAAAAATTAGATACAACGACAATAGGCAATAGCCTTTTATTTTTATTTCCTTATTTTAAAAAAAAAGAGCAATATTATTATATCCATATTTATTTCTTATTTAAACTCAATTTTATTATTAACTTATTTTACTGTTGCATTTTTATTGTTTTAAATTGATAACAAAATACATTTTTGCCAATAAGTAAGATAAAATGAATCATTATTGTGTAAAACAAATAAAATTAGCAACTTACTTTGAAAAGCGCTTTACAGAAAAGTAGTATATACACCAGCTAAAAAACTAAGGAATTTCAGTCCCTCAAAATTAGAAGATAAATAGATCACAAAACTTTGATTATGATAATATTAATAATGATTTATTACCATTTTTTTTCCCCATAATTTCTCTTATTAATGCATTTATGAAACAAATCTTATTAATATTCTTGTTAGTTAAATATAATAATAAAATTGTTATTGAATGAAGTCATACAACGAGTAGATTTACTATATGTGAAACGTAAAGTGATTTATTTCAGTTTTTTCTTATTTAAATCTTTAATTATTAATATGTCAGTAAAAGTTTAGATTTTTAGTAGAATTTCCATATACCTATACCATACACATTGATTCACCGACTGTCAATAATTATATACTCCACGTAAACCTATATATATATATATATATATATACGGTAGAATCTTAATGACTGGGACATTTATGAAACAAATGTTTGATACATATTTCGAAAAAATGCTACTTTTCCAATATATTTATGAGATAAAATTTCTCGACAGTTTGACAGCTCGAATTCATCTCTGTCAATTTATTGATTATCACACGTATTGTCAATGTACATTAAGGAAAATTACTAGAATAATACATTGAAGTAGTGGTTAGATAATAGTTGGATAATAATGACGCCGTGGAATCGCCTATAATTAATTCTGCCCAAGCATTCAATAGCCTAAGCGTAGTATGCGAATATAGTTGAAAATGACTGAAAATTCTGGACGAGATTTCTTTCCGCGCTCAACACGATTTAAAACTTTATAGATAACCGACATCGTCCAAAAATAAGAATGGTAAGACCAAAGCGATTGATTTTTTCTAAAAATAAAACCGTTATAAATATTATATTTTAATTACAACTGTTGAATACTTTTTTAAAGTTCCAATGTATGTATATACATGCGTACATGTCTAAGACAACGTGTTGCGAACAAAATACACTTTTTTCTATAGATATAAACGTTTGAAAACTCGAATTTTCATTTCTTCCCCGACCGGTTCAAGCCGTCGAGGTTTCACTAGTATACATATGTAGATTTCGCACGGTATCACGACGTGATTACGTAACGTGCAGTATGTCTTACGGTGACCGCGTGCTGTTTTTCGCAGGCGATGACCGTTTCCGGTGTTTGACGCAGCCGACCAAGTCTCCGCGGCGGACCCGCGCGAAATGGAAGGTGGCGACGGTGCCTTCAACGACACCGGGTCGACGGTCAACAACAGTAACGTGACGGTGCAAGCCGTGGAGGATTACGATTATTCGGAACGGCCGGAAACGTACATCGTGCCGGTGCTGTTCGCGTTCATATTCTTCGTGGGCACCGTCGGCAACGGGTCGCTGGTGATGATATTCTTTCGGCACAAGCACATGATCAACGTGCCCAACATATACATACTCAGCTTGGCCCTGGGCGATCTGCTGGTCCTGTTGAGCTGCATCCCATTCACGTCCACTGTCTACACGGTAATTGAACGAAACCGCGCTTGCACACGATCACACGTACTCGACGCAGAGGCGTGTTTAGACTTACTCCTAGGGAGGGAGAGGAGACGAGGGGCTAATCAAATGTTTTCTTTAATTCAGGCTAAAAATGTCAATATGACAAGGAGAATCCTTAATATTTGTAGTTTTTTAATTTTTAATCTAATGCCGGATCCGCTTAAAATCGGTTTTTGCGTAGTCCTGTCTATGTTTTGAAATTTACGCTTGTGTTTTATTTGATTTTTCACTAAGTATGAACCCTACAAAAAGCCCAATCCAGTATTCACAGCCACACGTAATTTGATTTCGTTATAAAATGATCCGCATTAAAAAAAATTTGAAATGTGTATCTCACATATAATCAATTCCTTAAATACGGATTCAGGGGGGTGATCACCCCTTCACCACCTAAATACGGCCCTGACTCGACGTGATCGTGATATTTTTGCGCGTACATCGAGTACACACCGTTTTCTCGTTTTAAATCGGCTTGACGCGTTATCACGAACACGACTGCCGGAAAACTGCAACACGACGCTATTAATCGTACGACGGGTGTGCACGTAAACTATACGCTAGGCGATCACTTTTATTATCATTCTTTAGCTATCACACGGGTCGGTTATGATTATTTTTAACGCTCGTAGATCACGCACATGTTATATATGTTTTCTCGTTAATGATGGCTGTAGGTTCGGATAACCGTTCCGTCGTTGTAGTAGTAGTAGAAATACTGGTCGTGCATAATTAATTCGGTCGAATTAAATCGATTACTGTGATCGTACAACGTAATGCCCGAAGCAGCAATGCGCTCGATTTGAACTTTTACTACGGTAAAGACGACGATCAATCGCAGACCGATTAGATACTGCTAGGGGGATTTCGAGCGTTACTAAATAATAATACGCGCCATTGCGTGTGAAACATGATAAAGCACGTATTTAATGGATGTACAAAATAACCGTATTAAATTTAGTTCATAAGCCATCTCATATGAATAACTATATTACATTTACACGGAGTATAATTTAGGGACTAGATTTTGTAAGTATATTTCGAACATCTATTAAACATCCAATAGATAGCATATGCTGTGTGGATATTCCATCGAATATTTCTTGTTTGTGATCCCCATTTATTATTTAGACTACTCCGAATCTAGAATTATTTATGGTACATGAAGTAGCTGCTCTTCGTATTTAATGTTAAAATCATTTTTTTACTTAGTGAAATGTAAGTGTAAATTATAGAAGGCAAAATTTAAAAAAAAATAACTGATGAAAATTAATTTCAAATGTTAAAAAAACGACAAATAGTGCATAACATTAACCGTTTAAACAATATTTTAGTAATTTTCTGAAGGTATAAATATCAACATCAAAAAACACAAGTAAAGATTTAAAATAAAAAACGAATCTTTAATTTTTTTTAATATTATGCGTTTTAATATGCTCTCAAACTGTTTTATTAATTATTAACTATTAACTTAACAAATTTAAATAATAAGTAAGGTTTACGTTAATTAATCATTTTTAGTGATCCATCCGTATTCTGTGTTTATAAATTCATAATTTTTACATCGATAGAAAAAGTTTTTAGTTATACATTTTAGTAAAAACGAGAAAAAGAAACATACTGTGAACTAATACTCATTTAAAATTATAATGAAATTAAAATTTTAACACGTGAAACTTTAGACCTTGTTTTTCACTAGTACTTAATAAGTTTTTAATTAATTGAGAAATAAGGAATGAAACAAGTTTTGATCTTTTCTAGGTTCCCATCGAAAATATTTAAATTTTGAATTAATTGCTGTAAAAGAAAAAAATCGATCATCTAAAATGAATTTATTAGAAAACTGTAGAAAATAATTATATAAATTGAACGTATATTGCACAAATTAGTTTTCTCACACAATTTTTCAGTCTTGTAAATTACAATTTGTACATGCACGTTATTATAAGAACTTCATGAATCAAAATAAAATAAATATAAAGATAATTAATAAAGATGATTGATTATGATTAGAATCCGGATTTGTATGCATTTACATATTTGTAATGAGTGTATGCATTTCGATAGGAATAAGATATGTGGACAATTTGTGCAACAGATAATGCATAGAAAAAAGTTTATTTTGCATATAATTGCATATTTTAGAGATGACTGCATATTAGAAAATTTTTGCATATTCAAGCATATTTTGTATTAAAGTTTATTAAGCCAATTATTTTGTTTCAATTTCATTGTAGAAATGATTAGTTCATTACATATTGTTGGGAAATAAATGTTATTCTCCGTATGTTATATTTTTGGACAGTTTCTGTTAAAATTATATCTGGTTTATCGCACACAGTCATCGGCAATAATCCTAACTGGTTTTATTATTAGACTTATATTTTGTAAACACGCCTCATCGTGTTGTCACGTTGCCGTTATCGGGCATAATTGCCAGTCAACAGTGCACAAGTGCTCATATATCTTTCGTGATTTGCTTTCCGTAAATTTATAAATTAAAATTTACATTTCATTAAAATTTATAAATTTTATAATGCCGAAAATTCGAAGCACTATTTCAACTTTGATAAAAACATGGATTGCTTCAGGGGCGGATCCAGAGTTGGGGAACTGTGGGTCAAGCCATTTCAAGAGGCTATTTATTAGGGATTATACTGAATTAAAAATGAATACCTTGTAAAAAAAAAAACACAATATACTCATAAAAGTGTATAAGTATATTTTTATTACATTTTAGAATTCGTGATACCACCGATAATGACTTATTTACGATTAATAAATATAATCTAATTTTGTCAGCGCAACAAACGTACGCAGAGGCGGATTTCCCATTAGGCACTGTAGGCATCTGCCTAGGGCGGCAAAGTTTAGCGGCGGCTAATTCTGTAATGTTTTATTAGAAAACATTAAACGTATGCCAAAAAAATTGGAAAATTATTTACTTTATATTTACGAAAAATAATTGTATAATAATGGGTGCATTTTGTTAATATGTTATCGTCAGAATTTCGGGGAAAAATGAATATCCCAACTGCCACACTATACTACTAATTTGAATGTATGTTAATAATCCTATGCTGTTATTATGAAAATCTGTTTTTATTAAAATTTGGGGAACATCCAATGGCATTTTTTCAAAGTAGACTAATTAATTAAAGCGAAAAAAATAGTCTAAAAATTCAAAGGAATGTTCATACGTTTGTATATTTAATATTTAGATTAGGTGTTTCGGAAGGGGTAATATAACTTCTTCGCCTATATAGGGGCGACAAATTGTTGGTGCCTATAGTCGTAAAAAAGATAAATCCACCTCTGAACGTACGGAGTAAATTATGATTTACTTAACTTTCTACTAAAACGATATAATTTATAATATAAATTATGAATTGAAAAATTTTAAATTTTGAATATACATAGCATTCATTTTTCAAGTAACTCCGATAAGTCAATTGTCTAAAGCCTCGATTACATTGAGCGATTTTACTAGCGATTAATGTCACGCGCGTGTGAGCGTGTAGCGACTTGTCCGATTACATTGAGCGATTAAATTCGCTCGTTCGCTAGTCGCGTACACGCATTTATGTGATATACATGTAAAAAAAAGTTGTCATTGATATAGATAACTCATTCGTTTTCGTTTATATTTTAAATTGTATTATTTATTAATTATTTATTATTATTTATTTAACTGGGCCCCGTTCATCCTTAGAATATTTTGATAGGCTGCAAAGTCTTCTTGTTTTAGTTTTTTTAATAATGTATTGGATGCATCATATTTCTCTCGCCTTGAAATCCAACTTCTGATCCATAACCTTCTCTTTTTATACTTTTTCTTTTCCAACTCCTGTCACAATAAATGAGAAATCACAATAACTCCCGCGCGAACCAGTTATTACAAGATGGGGTACATGGATAAAAGCAGTTATATTTAATGCAAATAACTATGAAGGTATTAAAACTGTAATAGAAAAACTAGAAAATGATTTGTCAGCAAGTGTAGAGAGTTGTAAAAAAATGTTCGATTTGCCTATAGTAAAAAATGATTTAGTATTTATAAAAATTAACTTTTCTGGACTCATTCGGGCAATTGCAAATTTAGATGATCCTAAATTGACTTTAGTACAATCATTAGAGATTATGAAAAATATGTTTTCAGAACTATCAATACAGGGAGACAAAGGTTCTATTATAAAAACTAAAATATCACAATTGCATCAAAAAAATAAAGGTTTTTTAGTAATGGAACAAATTGGACTAGTTATATCAGGTAACAATGAAATACAACTTTCAAAAAACTTCAACCCTTGCTCTTTGGTCAACATGAAATATGCACCACTGACATCAGTAGATGTGGAAAGGTCGTTCAATTTTTATAAACATATACTAAGTGATACAAGGAAAAATATGATACCTAAGCACATAGAAAAATATATTATTGTCAATTCATTTTATAAAAATTAAAAATTATACATTGTATCTATTTATCAAAATATTTTTTATTAATAAAAAAATTATGTTTTTATTGGTTTAAATTGTTTTTTATATAAAATGTTTTTATTTTGTATTTTTTTCATAAATATGTACCAAAAAAAATGGTATAAGAGGATTTAATACATTTTTATTTTTATTTTTTATTATTCTTAATAAAAGGATTTGTTTTATTTATTGAATATATTTTTAAATATTTACTGTTATTTAATAAATGTTTAAAGTTGATGTCTATAATTAAAAAAATTAAGTTTTTCTAATTTTTTTTGAATTATTATTTATGGAAGAAATAAAAAAAAATATATTAAAATGCATATATTTTGGGTAAGAGTATGTTTTTGCATATTATTAAAAAAATAAGAGCATATCAAGTGCATATTTTGAAGTTGTTTTATGCATAAATGCGTACTATTTTGAGCTTTTTGGGTGCATACAAATCCAAACTCTAATTATGAAAATAATTAAAGTTCACATTCAAGATAATAATTTGTATGTGATAAAATAAATATATTTTATATATTTATATGTAAAATTTCGAACTCTAATGATAATACAAACGTATATTTTATAAAAATAGGTATTGAACTCGCCTTATTAATTTTATATAAATCTCATGTCATCCGATTCACATCAACTAATGTGATGTATTGTGATATGAAACTTGTTTTAATAAATAAATCAAAATTAAAGGTTTTACGAAATTATGGTTAACTTTAGAACACAAACTTTAAATATGATTACATTGTTCAGTTAGTGTGGAAAATCGAAACATCAAGTATGGTTATACTATTCTCTATACATATTTCTACCGGGCGCAATTCAAAGGGTGTATTATATTATAATATACTTAGATTTATAAGCACATCCAGATTATCACGGTCTTAGTGTTTCCTTAGAAGAACTTCTTTAACGTATTCTGAAGCTATTGTTACAATAATTATTTCAAAAGTTTTATAAAACACATTTAACTTTAAACATTAATTTTTGTTAAGAACTTGAAAAGTAAGACATTACAGTACTTTCTTTTAGGCAGGTTTCACACTGCACCATGCCGTGTACTTTATCATATCGTGTACTTAATAATATGTAATAAATAGCCACGTGATACAGCGAATTTCCACACGGCATAGAACGTCTTATGATTTGTCTTTTTTTTTTTTTTTTAAAAAAAAATCCAAATTATAACCCGTTTATGTTACCAAGTCCATAATATTGTAGTAACTAAAAATAAATTACTTGAGGATGGTGGAAGTGGAGCAAGGTGTATTTATTGGAATAGGACGTGGGTCAAGGGTAAGTGCAACTAAGTAGTCTTTGAAGCTAAATAAAATAGCATTTATTCTGTTCATCGTCGATCTTCGGATATCGATGAAATGGACACTTGTGATCATTACAAGAATAGAGATTCTCCAGAATTCTAAATAATCCAAAATAACTTGACACTTTTTGACACTGTCATAGAATTTCTGTTCAGATATTAAATGGCTAAGTGCATGAGAATACACTGATGACAAAACTTCTTTGTTTTAAACGGTAAAAAACGGGAAGAATTAGGAGGTGGGATAGTCGGTGGGCATGCAGCAATGGCTTACAACGAAGGGCCTCGAAGAAAGTTGTCTGATGGACGTGCAATGCGAGAGAGTTCTTGCAACGGGATGGTCACTTGATTGGTTAACCCGTTTGCTACACTACAGTGGCGTGATGAACATTTATAAACCATGATGCACAAGACATGTTTTGGTAACCACCCACCCACTTATTTTTGTAGCGTACCATCTTTGAATTTTTTTCAAAAACATAAATCGAAGAAAACCAAAAACCATTGATGCACCTATCTATTCATGTTTTGTAAAATCAAACTTAGAAAATCCCAAGGGGCTTTTTGCTCTTCCATGTTGTGATTAACGCAGAACGTTGTCGACGTGTTATCGTCCAACCGACAACCACGTATCCCACTGCATTCGCGTTTTGTGTTGGTAATGCGTTCAAATTTCGGTATTTTTCACGTTACGTATTCATCTGAAATCTCGATCACATCCGAGTTCAACCGACCGTAAGATTATCACCACAACGTTTGGCAATCACAAGAACCCTTTTACCACGGTGTACAATGGTTAGGTTTGGACGGGTGGTTGGGAGGCGTTTTTGAAAGCGAACATCTAGCACGCATTGCGGGCAGTCACAGTGTTACTAGTGACGAATGGCTCCTTGGACGGCCATCCGCTGGAAAACGTAACGTTTCCGTCTGACCGTTTGCCGCGTGTTTGCCGTAGGTATCTTCGTGGCCGTTCGGCGTGACCATCTGCAAGGTGGCCGAGACCACAAAGGACATATCGATCGGCGTGACCGTGTTCACGTTGACCGCGCTCAGCGCGGACCGGTTCTTCGCCATCGTCGACCCCATGCGCAAGCTGCACGCGTCCGTGGGTGGCCGCCGGGCCACCAAGTTTACCGTCACCGTGGCCGTGGTCATATGGTGCCTGGCCGTGGCGTGCGCGATGCCCGCGGCCGTGTACTCGTACATCAGACCGTTCGGCGAGAACAACGTCACGCTGTTCAAGGCCTGTTACCCGTACCCCGAGGAGCTGGGGCCCACCTACCCACGCGTCGTCGTCCTGGTCCGGTTCCTGGTATACTACGCAGTGCCGCTCTCCACCATCGCGTGCTTCTACGTCATGATGGCCAGGCATCTGATAAACAGCACCAAGAACATGCCCGGCGAAGTACAAGTAAGTACCGCGCGTCACGCGTTCTCCGTCACCGATCCTCGCCCAAGCACGTAGCGAATAAGTTCGAGGTTGAGATGTAGGGTTGTGACCCCTTCGCTGGTTTGCGCACCCCCCCGACAACATTGGTTCGGTTGCTTCGCCTCTGTCCGAATCATTTGGTTTTTTTTTTCTTTTTCACGTGCGCGCCCTACGAAAAACTCACGTCGCCGATTCGGCCGTAAACGTGCGATCACACCCAATGTTACGGTTGTAATCCGTTTGTTGTTTATGAAACGTGTTAGCGACAGAGACGAAAACGGCGGGACATGCTGCTCATTGGGAAGGTTCAAGTCGGGTGGTCGGTAATCCGTCTAGTGCCACGCGTTTGATATTAGAAAAACACGAGTATAATCTGATGTACGTGTCGGGGATGTACGTGATGGTAAAGCATACACGCCACATATTCTGTAGTACGCTGTGCAGTATGAATAGCTCTCGACTCTCGAATATCTGCAGAAATTTTTTAATCGATTGACTTGGTGATAAATGCTTTTATATAGTTTGGTTTTTTGTTGTTTTAAAAAACGAATTTTTTTTTTTTTTTTAATTTTTGGTTTTGGAATAGAATTCGATGGAATACGTTATTATCGGTCACTCAGATTCTGTTTAACCAGGTAGCCATCAATAATTTGACGCTCGAACACGACAGTCTTCCCCGATCGATATTTCTCGCTCGAAATGTTAACATAGGTACTACGGTACATACACAGCGCTGACGAGGTGAATCGACTTTACGATCGTTTTAATCGCAATATCTTACGCACGTGGTCATAAAACTACACTTGATTCATTGATGGTAAACGAAAACCGACTTCTATGGCCATCCTCTAATACCTTTTTAATAACGCAAATGGATCGCTGTAACGGAATAAATAAAAAATCAATTGCATCACGTGCATACACCTCGGTGACCTTTTGTCGCGGTCGTAAATTACGGCAAAGGATGCTTTTATTCGAAAATATTCAACTTAATTTAAGTCACCAAACGTCAAAAGTTCGAAAAAAAAATAAAAATAAAAAACTTTATTATGTACTGCAAATAAATACATTATTTACGGGAGCATTGATCCAATCTCGTATAATAAGTACCTACATAAAGTATATAATGTAAGTTACAGACATTACTGTTATTGAATTATATACTTTTTTATTTTTACTCGTTCAAAACTTTAGTCAGTCATAATATTTCAGACCAAAATGTCTACTTGTTGACGCCCGAAACTGTTTCAGTCAGATTAACTTTGGAATTAAAAATAATATCACATACCACGTTTCGTTTTTTATTAGATTATGCGATTTTGCTTATTAACTATTAGGATAAGCTACTACCTTTAAGTTATTTTCGCTTGCATGGTTTAAATTATCATTATTTATACCCAATATGATAAACTTTTTTCAAAAAGAGCAAAGGTTTAAATCTTGATATTTTTTCAATTGATTCTATAAATTATAAATTCATAAAAATAGTAATATATAAAATTTATCTTAAAAATAAAAATAAATAATAAACGCCACAATAACGAAATCCATCACGGTTAATGTAATTCATTGAGACATAAAAGTAATTAAATTTACATCAACAATTAAAATAGAAAATTATTTTTTATAATAAGGTTTACAAAAATATTTTCAGTAATTTATTTGAAATATACATCTATAAAATAAGCTGGAAAAACATCACGCGCAAAACATTAAAATCTATTATATGTTTGACTTTGTAGTTAAATCAGCAATAAAGGCATGAAATAATACCGTTTCCCCATCGATTCGAATAAAATGTATGAGTCATCAATGAATTTATTTTATCAATGTTGAAATAAAAAAGTTACTTGTATTATACGAATTAGGTACTTAGTGAAAATATGATAAAATAAATATATGACAATCTGAGTTTCTCACTTAGTAATTTCAGTGAAATCGATATCAAACGGTGAATCTATGTGATTAGTCGAAATTTCTAAGTACGAGTAATGCAAGTAGCGACGTTTAAATTCACATCCCGCGATGTTGAAAGTAATTTTATTATTCATACATATAATGAAATCGTACAGTTTTTCGTGCAAAGGATTATAGAGATTAAATTCACCAAAACTATTCTACGTTATACAGTTAGTTTATATCGATATACACATGAAAATATAACAAAATTGCCTTTAAGATTGTCGTTTAGAACATATATAAAGTATAAATATAATCGTACGATTATTTTCGGATACGACGAACGGTTTTGAATTAATTTAATTTAAAACAGTTAAAGAATAAAAATTAATATTGATGTACGTTTTTTCACGCAAGCCAATACTTGTTATAATATATAATAATTACTCGGATTATCATTATTGTAACTGTGGTTTTTTTTTCTTTTTTTTTTCATGCGTTTATGATTCGCAATAAATATTGGACTCCTCTACATAATGTTAAGTACTCCAAAAAGCTGACTATCGTTACGGCTAGTGGTACGTACATGGAAACCATTTTCTGATTAAACATTTTTACAATAGACGTCCTGTAATATATCGTTTTCAATCGATTGCCCCTCAGGGAGCATATTTGACCATATAAACAAAACATATTGATAACGGTCGACATACAATCCGAGAACATTATCCGTCTTCTAAAACGTTCATATTATATATACATATATATATATATATATATATATATATGTATGTATATATATGGAGATGAACAAATATTATGAACAGTAAGGTCGAAAACAAACTTTACTCATCATAGATTTAAGGACTAAAAAATTCAGATGTTTTTTAAGTACATTTTAAGTAGAAACATTTATAATAGTATTAAATAATTATTGTATAACACTGACCAGTTCAACTATAGTTTTTTCTAAAATGCTATTATAAACTTTAAGTAAATAAAAATCTTGATAATATTTATTTGCTCGTTTAATTCGTAGTTATGATCTAATCAGTGTTGAAAATAGATAATGCAAAATTGATCTAGATAATAGACAAAAAAAATTAAAATATCTAGATAAAGATAAAAGATATTTTCAAATTTTTTTTATTTTTTGGTCAATGTTTTATATTTGTAATAATATCTAAGAAGACTCAATTATAATCATTATTATCAATAGGTACCTAGGTGTTTAATGTTTATTGTAGTAATGTTCTGTACTATTAAGCAGTATTTATATATAATGTACAATATTTAATGATAGTTAATCATTAAAATATTACATAAAAAAAAAAAAAAAACAATGAAAATTGCTCTGTACGTATCAGGATAAATACAGAACACATAAAAAATTATTTTAAGTTAACAATATTGTTTTCCATATAATCTTAATTTGATGATTTTCATTATTCTATAAGTAGTTACGACTTAATGGGTTTTATCCATTACATACTATATCCAAATGTCTTACTCTGCTGTTATTTCTAGTTATGATCATGTATTTTGCCTTATCATCGTTCATTCCTAACCCCATTTTCATTCTATTTTTCAGTAAATTTCTTATAGTATTCTTTAGATTCGCTTCATCTTCTACCATTATGACTATATGATCTGCGTATGCGGCCATTACTAATTCTTATCAACTCCGATTTTTACTTAATTTGCTGTGACCAAGTTATTTATGATTTTATTGAACAATGCTGGGGATAAGTATCACCTTGCCTTAGCCCAGTCATTATCTCGAAGTCTTCCGATATTGTGTTTTCAGACTTCATTTTGCACTTTAATCCCTGTATACATGGCCTGATTAATCCCATAAGCTTTTCAGGTATACCCAAATCGCATATTACACTCCATAATTTGTTTTTATTAATCGAATCGTAAGCAGCTTTGAAATCTATAAAGAGGAGGTGAATATTCTTGTCAAATTCGTGAATTTTTTCGGTTATTTGTTTTAACTATATGTATTTTATCCAAGATTGATTTTCCTGTTATAAATCCTGTCTGGTAATCTCTAATTATCTCGTGTAAATAAGGTTTTATTCTATTGAGTGTAATTATTAGACAGTATTTTGTATGAAGAATTTAATAATAATCCCTCTTTTTAAAGATAGGACATAGAATAGATATACGCCACGAAAATAGTATTTCTTCACTTTTTCAAATCGTATTAATCAGGTTATGTAGCCGATTTATTAATTTTTGTCCTCCTTTCTTAATGCTCTCGGACACTATTTTATGTAAAATGTAAATTTGATCTTTATACTTAATAATGTCATGTCTGTAAATTTTCATTTATATACGTTTACAATCGCATTGACAAGTTTTCACATTCGGTTCATTGTACTTCTCGCAATAACCAACTGTCAGCGATTGTGCGAACGAAAACAATCGTACAGTTCTGTAAAATAGTTATGTGCACATATATGCACGTTCGTACGTCTTGTAGTTTTACGTTTTTTTAAAAAAGTTTAACTCGTTCGCGTTGTAATAGGTGTATTTATTTTATCGTTACCTATTATTACCGTGCCGCCGTAACGTTTCTTACGCGCTGCGGAGAGACAAGACCTATGCACGATGTTTACGGTGATCGGGCACGGAACTCACACAGTGTACTCCCGGCGGTAAAACATATTTTAAATGATTTAAAATAGGTGGCACTCCGATGAAATTGTCTACCATCGTAGTTCATGGACGTGGTATTCTTCTACGGAGGAACGTACAAGGAAAATCAACTCACTTCGTTATGAGAACGCGTTGTGATTAGTGGCACGATCACCCACCATTGGGTAGCATTGACTTATCACTGGGGGGGGCACTAGTACCACGTACTTTGCACGTTAAAATATGCTTTGGCCCAGCGGTAACCGTGCGCGGGCGCGTTGAATCGATTGGGGTGGAATTAACGTTGCCTCTAACGGTATTGTTGTTTGTGTTGTCGTGCGCAGGGCCAGTTGCGCCAGGTACGAGCCCGGAAGAAAGTGGCCAAGACGGTACTGGCGTTCGTGCTGGTGTTCGCCGTGTGCTTCTTGCCCAACCACGTGTTCATGCTGTGGTTCTACAACAACCCCCGGTCCCAGGAGGAGTACAACACGTTCTGGCACGTGCTGCGCATCGTCGGCTTCTGCCTGTGCTACAGCAACTCGTGCATTAACCCGATCGCACTCTATCTGGTCAGCGGAACGTTCCGCAAGCACTTCGACCGGCAGCTATTCTGGTGGTTCGTGAAACCGCAGGGCGCGGCAGCCGAGTCCAAGAACGGGTACATACGCCGAAAGAACGGCACGCGTGAGAAAGACCGCGGCGGCACCATCAACGAGTCGACGACCATGGGGAACGTGCCGTTAAGCACGTTCGCCAAACGGACTGTGGAGACCAACATCACCACCACGACCACGGTACTGGTGTGCGGGCTGCACGAAGCCAATACCATCATATAACGGCCAGGTAATGTTCTCGGGTAAGTTCCGGATCGCGCGCGCCAACCCATTAGTCCGCGCTACGCGATTTTGCAATTAATCGAATACACTGGACCATAGTTCGAGTTAAATGAATGTAATTCATTGTTAATATTTTATAAACACAATGGAAAAGTGCTCGAGTTGGTGCGACTCGACTTTAAACATAAACTTTTAATTATTTTTACGTTGCTTGAACGCAGAACACGGCGCGACCGTACAAATAATTTGTAATTTTTATTTACATTTCACAACGTCAGAAACACGATTAGTAGTTGTTTTTCAAATAAATATCAAATACATTTACGAGAGTATAAACTTTTTCAAACTATTAAACTAATTTTAAAGTGTTCACGGTTGGCTTTCCGGAAATGATGTTCGTGCTCCGATTTTGGGTCACGAGTTAAAACTCGCAGTTCGTCAGACGCTTCTGTGTGTTAGATTATAAGTAAGAAAAAAAAAACATCATTCCAACGAGTTCATTCCAATGCGTTTTCACGATTCGCCATAATAATACCATATTCTGACCGATCGAAATGTAAATGACCAGAACTAGATGTTTCAAATAGCGCATTATCAAATTTGGAGGGCTAAGGCATTTCGGCATTGCCGTTTTAGCGACAAACTATTTCGGTGACATGCTATTATAATTTAGAATTTTATCTCGAAATCATCAATACCCGTGTTTAAACGAATTGAACACCCAACATTTTGTCGATATCATCAAAATCGTCTAATAACGTCAGCACTAACATTATCCAAAACAAACATGAAACAATCGTTTCAAAAAAATGTCTTTATTTTTATTCAATACTAATAAAAAATATTTATAGCTAATAATTAATTGATGACATTAGATTGTATTTTGATTTTTTATCGTAAAAAAATTAATCTTACTAAGCTAATAGTATTTTAAAAAAATAAAAAGTAAGCACAATATTATTATAAAAATAAGGATGAAAATGAACGAAAAAACGGAGCTCACCTTTTCTACGGACTTTGTTTTAAAACGTTTTTTATATGTCCTAAAATAAAAGTGTCGTAAGCAAAATAATATCGAATACATAAAAATAATCAGTCAACATATACAATATATATTGTAATATTATTGATTGTCATAAAAATGTATTTACATGAGTACGAATAGAAATTAATCAGGGTAAACAACTCAAAAACTCAAAACGATATCGCGCATTATGATCACTTATATAATTATGTTGCCCTTTATTATGATTTTGTTTTAACTAGTTATATGAAATAACATATATAAATAACATAACAATATTCTATTTAATCATTTTTTTTTTCATCTTTTTTTTTTTACCACAGGCAACTTTTGAAACGTTCTACGAAGAGACGTCGTTGTATTAACATAACATCGCAACTCTAAGAAGATCGATATCAACTGTTTATGCTGTATAGTATATCACTTCTAAATTTCAGTCTATTCATCTTGTTAAGCCGGTTCCACACGAATCGTGTACTAGACGAATAATCGTCAATTGTGATGCTATACAAGTCGTGTAGGAAATGTTTAATCGTGAAGTTTGGCGATTGTTTCCACTTGTCGAGTCGCTCGTTGTTTACCATAGGTAAATATGACACGAATCTAAGGAATTACAAATAATCGCGTTTACCGATCGGCAAGTGTTCGAGTCATGTATGAGCGGCGTAATTGTCAAATCAAAATACTCATCGAACATTCGCGATTACAATGCTCTCCAGTTACACGAATCGTGTTGGACCGGCTTTAAATGTTCGTTCGGGAAATAGGCGCACATAATTTATAACGCTTCGGACATTGCTTAATTTCTTACTGTTGTAGTTTTACTTTATTTATTTTTAAACTATTAATATTTAATCTAATAATAAGAACAACACGCATCGATCACACAGTTATTGTCGTAACCACACGTACCACGGTTATGAATTGAAACGGTGCCGATGTACGACTACGTCTTTTTTAACTGTAAATATATTTTATTATTTTTATCCTAATTACTTGTTTAACCTACCCCCACGAGTTTCGTGAATTAACGTTGTACCTCACAAAGTACATACTACCCAAGATCAACGTTGCGGTTGAATACACACCCTCTCTTACCCATTAACCATATCACCATTCACCGTTATGTTTACAAATGCCGCGCGTGTTCTGAGTGCTCAATAAGATTTTATGTATTTTTAACGAACCATGTTTACATACCTGACGAGAAAAAAAAAATATTTACAAAAGAGATGGATTGTGATCGGCAGTTAATCTAAAACAGAGGTTCCGAATGTACGCTTTTAGCGTCTATCCGATATATATAATACTTTTTTTACTTGCTTTTTTATAAGTATCATTGTCCGTCAGAACAAGAATACTGTTTACAAATGTTGGATCCGTAACGATTTCTCGGAATGAATTAGAGAAGAGTCGCTGTGCAGTATGTGTCGGCGTTTGGAAATTACTAGTCGATGACGGGCTACGTATGTTATCATAATCAAAATAAAATATTATTTATAATCGGTGTTTATGTTACTTTGGAACGAGATGTCGAACAAGCGAAAAATAAATTTTTTACGCGCTTTTATGCTTGCGGTCACGTAGTAATCACTCTATGTTCTAAATATATTTACTCCATGTCACACGATGAGAACACATTGGTAAAATGGATTTCACCCCACGGTCAGGTTAAAAATAAAAATGTCGACATTACAATCATTTGACCGATTATCTATATTTTAGACGATCGTGAAACAATTCGTCGCTTATTGTGTAACTTGCTCTATCGCTGAGTCCACTGCAGTCATCAAAAAAGTTTTCGTGCGATTTTTTTTTTCGTACACCATCTTGATAATGAATGACGCAGTATTTTCAACGGTATTGAACTCCAGCGTCGGAGAAACGTGAATGCGGAACAGCGGATATCCCATCATCCTAGGAAGGGAGAAAGAAAGAAAACAGTACACACATACACACGTTTATGCCGTTGCTTATTTGCAAATGGTTTCCAGCCTAAGTAGTGCATGATCTCCGCAAACCTTTAAAATATAATATTTTCGTAGCATACGAATTTCCCAACAAGTCTATCACTCTCTTCTTTTCGCGATTACGGCATAATAATTTGAAAGCTCACCCGCTGCACACCCGACCGCGAGTCTTACGGCTGATCGATAATATGTTATATTTTAACATCAGCATCATCGTCAGTTTCATTTGTATCCAGCACCCAGTGTGCACTGCAGTCTTACCGAAATTTTGACCGTCGGTCAAGTTACAGCAAAACATGTATCTGATAAATAAATATTTTCTCTTATCCATCAACTAAAAACTACGAAAATGCGTACAGCTATAAGAGTTTATTTGTTGAACCCCTCTACACGTTATGGTATAATATTCATAATTTACCGTGCCGTAACCAAAAATCTGTTTAATAATCCAATGAGATTTTTATCATTATTATTGAGACTGCTAAGTGGAGGTGAAACTAGAAATTTTTACGTTCGAGGAAAATGTTAAGTTTACCCTCTATCATAGACCAAGAATCAAATACTATTCTCTACATTTTTTTTCTAATATTTAATATAAAATCATACTTGGTGTTAGAGAAGAATGGAAAAATTAATTGGATCGAAAGAGTAATAAATAAGGATGTAATAAACCAAATTGGAAAAATAATATCCATATTGAATACAATAAAATGAAGATGATGGGGCACGTTCTACGTCATTATTAAAAATTACATCACATTAATATAAGGTTTAATGGAAAATCGAAAACCACCAAGAACACCAAGACACTCGTACATATCTTAATTGAAAAAATACGAAGGAATTAATACATACGCCGGATTAAAGAAGTTTACTGAAGATCAGGAAAAATGGAGGACGAAGTTAAATGTTACAAGCCAACCAATAGGTCAACTAACTGGTTGAAAAAATTAAATCATATTTATAGAGTTTTAAGCACATTATCAGTAACAAAGTTAAAAATATCAAACTAGTAGCCAATAATAGATTTTACACTATAAAATTGATACTATAGTTTTACTTCCCGGAATGGAATTTACGTCCTGTCTTCCTTCTCTTATTTCCAATACTGGTATCAGTTAAAGTACTTAGGTACACCGGATACTATTACGACCACGTTGTTCCATATATATTTTCAAATAAATCTTTACTTTATTTAAGCAGTTATTTAAGTTTATTTGCATTGGCTTATTTTTATGGATTGACTTAGAATGTAGCAGAGTGCTATAGAAGTGTATGTCAAGTTATAATACGTATAATTATGAAATTTGAAAGTGCCTTTTTTTGTTTTTTCAGCAATTTTTAAAAAAAATGCTATTTCTAGTTTTTCTGATTATTTTTGCTTATTTGACCAGTTTTTTTTTTACGTTTTTATAGTTTACTCCTGCAAAGTCATTTTTGATAGAATTAAAAATAAAAATAATTCTTATCTTATCTACATTGTCACGTAATTCGTCGCCATCCAAGGAATCGTTGTTAGGTTAAAAAAAATATTCCAACGTTGATAAACGAATTGAGTGTCAAACGTCAGAATGATCAAAAACAGAAAAAACAGTTTACATTTCATTTTTCAGAAAAATCACTTAAAAATTCCATAAAATCCTTAAAGTCTTGAAAATGAAGTCTTGAAAATTATTTTTATTTTGTTTGATTTTTTAGTTAGAATATTATAGTTTTTTTTTTTTTTATAAATATTTTTGCTTAATTTTAAATTTTTTAAATGTTTATTCTAGTGCTTATAATGATGTTTTTAAACGCTTTTTCAACCGTTTATTTTAATAAATTTAAGTGCTGTAAGTCCCGAGCCTTGATAGAATCGAACAACTACTTTAGCATACAATTTTTATTTAAATAAATGGACTTTTATTTAAAAAACGTAAAAATGAATTTAATATTAAATTATAAAAATTAAAGTCATAAAAATATAATAATTAATTTTTAAGTGAAATCAAAGAAATTATCAAATTTATTACTTAAAACCCATACATACTAAAAAATTTTTTAAATATTTTAGTCAAATTTCAAAAGTTCAAATTCCATATTAGGTTTCTGAAAATATGCTTGTTTTAATATTAATTTATGTTGATAAACAACTCTAATTATTTGCACGCAAACATTTATTAAAATAAATCATATAGAATTGTAATTTAAAATATTAGTATATAAAAATATTTATAAATTAATATTTAAGTTTTTAGTGGATGAAAACTAATAAGGTTGTCCTGTTCCCAATTTCTATGAACGATTATATAATATTACGTGACGAGATATTAAAGTATGTGTAGGTTATGGTTGTGAGATATTTTTTTTTTTTTTGTGTAATATATTGACGTCACCTTATATAAGAAAAAATAAATATTTATAGAAATCCATGGGGTTCCCGTCATCTGAATATTATGACGGATATAAAAAATTCACTAAACACTTCATAGTGTGTTGCAGAATTCCGGTTGAAAACCACTGAATCAGACGATAGGATCGCATTTAAATAATAAAACTACGTCGTACTATTCAAGTAAAGATTTCTCCCAGTAAATCACATTACTTCTAGAGTTTATCCGATGTAATGTGCAGAATAAATATGGTCGTATTAAATTTATCTCAACACATGTATATATATTAAATAAACTAACCGATGGATTGAACGAATAATTATCCACGACCCAACAAAAACCTTCTCTTATTACTGTGTATGTAAATGTTTCAAAACTTTTTATTGTCACGTACTTACATATATTTTCAAATTCGTATTTATAATAATATGCTAACAATTTTTTTTTATGTTGTGCAAATGGTTGTTATTAATGTACACTAAAAGTTTGAATTAATTTAGAATATATTTACATATCTTGGAATGGTTTAAAATCCATAAGATCATAATATTTTGTAAAATTATTTGTACACTTTTAATATTAATTAATTAATAATATATTTATTATTATTGTATTATTAATTCATTGATACATTTATTAGTAAATTATTTTTTTTTTTACGAAACAAAACTCGATTGAAAATTGTAAATGTATTTTGTATGTATTTACGGAAATTATAATATAGTCGACCTTCCCTTAGTCTAATATGTACCAGTATAAAAATGTAATTCAATTGTACAGTTCGTTGCATGATAAACTTTTTAAACGATATAATAACATAAACCGCGTTATATTATTCTTTGATGCAATCACTCTCATATATTATCTGAAACGATTTGATTTTATGTTTGTGTGCGAATTCTTAAGATATTAAGTCATTGATATTATACTACGGACGTTATATCCCATCGTATCGTATAGTTTATGGTTAAAAACTATTGTTATGTAACATTTTTAAGAATCAAAATGAAGAACTCTCTTATTGTACATAATATATCAAAATATTTGTTTATGTTTGTTATCAACGAAAGTCCCGAGATAATCTGAGACGAATAGTGGTCAAACGGATAAGACGGCAATGCTGTCAAGGACGGTTCGAATCTCAACTAAGGGTGATTTTTCTTTATGGATTTTGTGATCTGTCTAGATATTGACATTTTCTTCACTCCTTCCTCTACCCAGTTATAAGTATTGTTGAACTTGGATAACGAACGATTGCGAACGTTTTACCTTTTTTATATAACACGATTGCGAACGAATTTCGCTTATCAAAGAATTTTTTTTTTAAGTCGAAAAACGAACGATTGCAAATGTTTTTGTAGGCTACGTTGCCAAGTTAATATTTATCTAAATATGTAAACATCTCTTTTCATTTTATTTGAGGATTTAATTAATTTTTTTTTTTTTGTAAAATCTTGTTGATATTTATAATACTGTTATATAATAATTACGTTACAAACTAAAATAAAATAATACATAATATGTATTTTATAAAAAAAATTTTCTTAGTATAAATATTAATAAAACAACATCATAATGTAAATTCATAAAATACTGTATAGAACTGAAAAAAAAATAATAATAAATTACAAAACAATAGTTTTGAATAATGTTGCACCTTTGTACGAATCGAGTTGGTTTTCCATCAAATTAATAAAAGTTTAGGAAAAATATTATAGTTAATGTGTTAGTATTTATTCTACATCATATCTATCTTATCGCCCGGCCTAATAGTAATAAACCGTTGTTGTTAATCTTATAAGATTTTATTATTTGAAAATAAAACAAAATTTGGACACATAATAAATTAATTCATTAATTCAATATCGGTGCATTGCGATAACAAAAAAAAACTGCACCATAGCAGTTTAAAACAACGCAGTGGTAGGCGGCATGCATATTCTAATTATATTCCAATCAGTGGTGGATACATGAGGGGGGGTTACCTAAATCAGGAAAAATATATATTAAAAATCAATAATTTTCGTTATCAATTACCGACTGCAATGTTATAAAATATATCCCAAGAGAAAACATTTTTCAAAACCTCTCAAAAGAAAATCCTGGATCCGCCACTGGTTCCAATCATGTTCTAATTTTACATGTACCGCCGTAGCTTTAGTGTGTACCAATCCTAACATCAAATCTGACAACGCCGCACGAAAAAAGGCAGGTAAAAAACGTTCGCAATCGAGTTGTTGGAAAAGGTCCGTTCGCAATCGTATTGTATCCGTTGAACTTAGGTACCAACTTCCTCACAACTATTGTAACTATTCGATATGAAAATAATCTATGATAACCTACTGTATTTATGGTAAATGTAAAAATACGAGAACTATACCTGTGTTATATTAAAATATATTGACATTATCTTTTATTTATTGTACTTTATTTGTTTACCGTTAACAAAATATTTCACATTTTTTTGAAAATACAATGTGCGTTTTACTCGATGACAGTGGTTATTAGACATAATTAGAACAACCCGATTTTAATTCCAATCAATTTATACTTCAAATTGTTGTGCATTTTCAAGTTCACTATGAAAATTTGAAGTGGAATGCATTTGATACCGATTAAAACCACATATTTAATGAAAAACATCGGACAAATAATGTTCAGCCAAAACAACACGAGCTTTGTTACGGTAGGTATAAATGAAAAAATATTTCTTTAAACACTCAAAATATATATAAATAATGCAAACGGAATGTGTATTTGTTATGCAGCGACATATAATAAATCACATAAATTAAGTAAGTAAAAGTAATAAATATACTCATCAACCGTTGATGTTTGAACTTGTGTAAGTGGATTAAAGATTTTCCGTTTACCCAAAGCACAGACTACAAATAGTTCGTTAATGCATAACAGAATATTATATATCTTACATGTGTATTTTACAATATGCATAAAATGTGTATGTATACGTATTGATTTGATTTAACTAAATGCATTATAATTATATACAAAACAAAAAAAACTTAGTAGTAATGTTTTCGGTAATTTGACTATTAATTGTATTAGTAGTGCTTCAGCAATGTGTAAGCGATAATATTATATCACGGTTGGCCACCCCGACCTTTAGTTAGGAAAAAAGCTAGGGGCGGGGATGGTAACACAACTAGCTACAACGTTAGTAAAACCTAACTTCACTTTTCCGCCGGACGCCGTCTCGCCTTATTTCGGTTAGTCAACGATACATCATTATTTTGTTTAACTATTTATAACTTAATTATTTACATTGCAATAAAAGTATTTGTGCGTTAAATAGTTTTCTCCATAATAATAGCCAACAGATGAAATATTTAATCTACTATGCATTCTTTAATTCCTACGGCTTATAAGAATAACCGGAAAATAATAAAACGACCTCTTCAGAATATCGTTCATCTTATAAACCGCTATCTACTGAAGGCCGTATTTAGATTTTTTTCGAGAGGGAGGAGGTTTATTAGATTTTTAAAAAATTTAAAAATTTAAGAAAATGAAGGTTTATTAATTTTTTTTCGTAAATACAATTTAAAAAAATTATACCTTAATACGGATAGTTTGCGCGATTAAAACAAGTCAAGTAAAATAAGATAAAATGTAAAAATAAATCATCAGGTAAGTATAAATTTTCAATTACAATTAACAAAGATTTCCTCTATCGCTACTTAGTTAACAATATTTATTAAAATAAAAAAAAAAAATAATTAATCAAAAACCATCTCGGTATTCTATACAATATAAGGAAAAAATGAACTTCGGCTGCTGCATTTAGTTGCATTTTGGAAAACTAATCGACACGCTATGTTGAGCGGTTGCGATTGGTCGTTGCTTTATC